TTACTTCATCAAACTTATTTGTATATCTGAAATGTGCTACACATCCATATGCGTTATTACTCGCATCGCAGAACATGTGTAGTGAAATGTCACTATTTTGCTTATCAATATCTCGAAAATATTTTCTGTCTATCGATATTTCTTGTAAATGAATTATTTCCAAAAGCCTTTTCTTAAATTCAGTTTCAATATCATTTGGAAGCTGTTCGTCCCAATCAAGACCCTTTACCCGTATCTTCTGTAGTAGAATTTTAATTCTGATCACGAATGGTGATATAAATCCAGTTGGATCATAAATTTTAGCAGTAACTTGTACTATTCTTCTTTTAGTATATAACACACAACTAGTTGACGATAATTCTAAAGATTTTAAATCTAGTTTAATAGTATCATTTTCTGTATCCCAATCAAGAACCTAAAATTTTAGCTTGCGCAAAGGAATCATTCATTGATAAACTGTTTTTTAACCACATGTCTTTTAACTCCTTAGAGTAGGAATTAAATTTACGTAGGTTCATATTCGCGTGCTTTAAAATCATAACTGCATCAAATGAGAATTGGTAGGCCTTTTCTACTGTACTCGTTCCATAATACAAATCATCGACATATAAAGATGAATTTAACATTTCATAACTTTCAGGATTTTTAGTGATGTATTTTTTAATATGGTGCTTTGTGGCTGCTAGAATGAATGGACAGGTACTAATACCAAATGGTAAATGTGTCATGTTCATAATTTTGAACGATTCACTGTTGTCATTTTGAAACCAAAGAAATTTTAAATATTTGCGATCTTCCTCGGCAATACTTATCATTAGAAATGCCTTTTCTATATCAGCGTAAAAAGCGATATCATGTTCTCGAAATTTAAGAATAACATCTAATATGTTAGGATTTAAATTTGGTGGTCATAAGTGATTTTTTTATATTCATAAACTAAAACTAAATACTTAACAGGTAAACAAAAGGTAACTAGATTACTCCCTTAAACTATGAAATTCCCCTTAGGGGTATTCCTCCTGATTGAGGACCCATAGTCTAGACTGAATTGGTTTTTAATAGTGACTGAATATACAGATAATTTAATTTGTCATACCTTTTTTTTTATACTAACTTTTATTATATGAAACTTCAGATTGCATGCATATTTTTTAGAATAAAAATTAAGATACAGATTTAAAAAAAATTTGATACTGAATTCAAAAACGTTTATTTGGTAGCCAGACCTAATAAACCTAAGAGATCAAATTTAAATTATACCTTACTTGTTCTTACTAACTTCTGTTTAATAAATTATTCTTAGGAACGAACCTTAAAAACTGGTGAAACATTTCATGCTAGAAAACAAGTTATTACAGACTTCTGAACTCATTCAGTAAGGGAAAAAATTATTTAAAACGTAGTTCAATAATCACACATTTTTTTTCTACTGGATCACCAACACATGATTTTTATAAGAAATATCTCCTACAACTTATGTGGCCGCTATTTCTGTGTTGTCAGAATATGAAATTCGTATAAGGAAAACAATGCATTTCAAGATGATGAAAATGACCCTAATTTGATATTTCTAAATAATAAATTTTTACATTATATGCGTTTCTTTTCTTAATCTACGCGAAGTAATATTTAATATGCAATTACAGCATAAAACCCACAAAAGAAGTGTTAAACAGTGAAATTCAATCCCGGAATTCCAGTGAAATTCAGTTTCTAAATGCTCTTTAAATTTGCCTCAGTGAAAGTTTCTGTATATAAATAATTATGGTAAAGTAAAATGAACTGTTTTTTTAAGCATTTACAGTTAATTGAGTAACATAACATTTTTTATTGAAATAAGATTTATTTTTAATGTCCAATATTACTTTTCTTACAACGCTGGACTTATGGTTAATAAATCCTCTTGTTCTTGCTAATAAATCCTTCATTATTTAAATTATTCAAATTGTTAAATCCATTTTCAACCATACAAAAGTTAAAAAGAAAAATATTACTTTTACATAAATTTTAATGTATGTAATTTATTTTATTTTTTAGAAATAGTTCAATAGTTTTACTTTTAAACAATGGTTTTGCTTTGATATAACAGACATGTTTAATTAGTTCATGGAACAGTTGTTATAGACACTATCCAATCATGAACTAGCATCTTTTTCCACTCTGCAGGTTTACTGCAAAAACAATGAATTATCCCTTTAAAATGGTTTAAAAATATTTTCAAATCATCTTCATTAATATTGAATTCCTTTCATTTTCCACTTATTGAAAATTTTTAAAGTAATTGAAATTCTAGGAATTTTTATCTAAGGATTTACCTTAGATAAAAATTATTCAAGAATTAGACTAAAGGAAATGCAAGAAAGGGGTTAACTTCTATTACAAGCGAATTTTCAATATTTTTATTTTCTAGTAGCTAACAAAAAATATCTAAAATTCTCTTAAATTTTTTTCTCACCACCCTCTCCCTTCTGAGGCTATTCTTTGGCACTCCAGGTTCGATAGGGATAAAGCAATTAAACAAGGCTGTCCTCTCTTTAACTGCTTTTCACTCAACTCGGGGCAAAAGAAAAGGACGATGGTTTCCTGCCTGAATAGCCAGTGGCCAGTTAGAAAACTTCATGACGAATGCCCGCTTAAAAGCAGCACACATTTTCAGAAATCCAAAATAGTTCATAACTTTCTGAAAAACGCTAATAATAATTATTTTGATATATAATAATTATTTTAATTAAAAATAAATTAATAATTATTTTAATTAAAAATAATAATTATTAATAAATTATTTTGATTAAAATAAAATTTCAGTTGTGAATGAAATTGATGTATGTAAATTCGAAGTTGTCAAAACTTAATTATTTGAAACCATGTTTTAATTCACTATTAAAACAGTATTCATGATAGCATACAAATGTTTTCTTAATCATAATAGAATACGGTACTTTTATCTCTTTCGATGAAATTAAAGTTTAGCTCTAAATCTCCATAGCAAATTCATTATATGCAACATTTTTTTAATTGTTAAATTATTCATAAATTATTCTATATATATGATGAAAATTAGCATACAATGTATTATCCTTATAATTTAATAGAATTAAAAGAACCAGTGTCGCCAGTATTCCCTTGCACCTTCCTTTGTCCGACTTATACGCAGTCACTTCCCTTTGTCGTGCGTAAATATAATAGCAGAGTTACACATGCATTTATGTTTTTAATTACATTATTTTGATTGAATTACTGTTCTATATACATACAGGGTTTTAATTCAGCTGGAGCCCGAAATGAAATGTGTTCCGCTACTTAAATTTATTGTTCAATTACTTTTTAGTTCAAAGGGGATTTGTCCCTGAAGGACTGATCTTTTCGTTTTGCAATTTTGCATTGAAAACTTTAAAGGCTGTATCACTTTTCAAATCATTGCCACCAAATACTATTACCCTGTATTATATTTGAAGAATTTGCATAAATGTGTGTATGTTTCTTGCATTGTCCCAGAGCCAATGTTAATGATGTTATCTTACTGCAAATATGGGCATCTTAAAGCCGAATTTGTTTTATCAGTTTCATATTTTGTAAAACTTTAATGAATTTTTTATTAACAAAAATGATTTAAAAGCGAGCAATGGCAACACTCTATGGGGGGGGACCTTTTTATCTCCAACCCACAGAACTGTGTATCGGAAATTCTAAAGATATGCTCGTTTTAAAATTATTTTGTGACATTACTGTTGAACTGAATTTTATGGTTTAAGTGCGAACAACATGATATTTAGTAAATAAAGATAACACACAAAACGTTAAAAAAAAAGCCCCTTTGGACGTAATTTAAAATCTGAAAGCCTTCAGATTTTGTTTAGTGCTGTTTTCTATTGATAAGAATAAAAACTACATCTTATCATATAATTGTCTTCTAAATAAATGTTTTTAGCCCATTCAACTAAAATTCATAAGTATTTATATGTAGAGTTAAATCCTGAAATGCACGAAAGTGGCTTACAGTTTTTTAGTAATTATTATTATTAATTTATTTTTTATTTTATCTTTATTCATGAATCTGCTTTGTGCAGCTGAAGAAAAAAAGAAAAAATTATTAATTTTAACATAACATATATATTCCGGTGTGGGCTGTTATCAGCGTGGGCTATGTGGGCTTTCATCAGTGTGGTTATTTTTCACGTGGGCAATAATCACAGTGGGTTCTTTTTTGTGGGCTTTTGTCTGGTCACCGTTTGTATGTATTTGCTATATTATATACATTTGAGATATAACTTGATGAAGATATCCAAATTGCTCTGGATATCTTCACCTGTAATAAATTGTTACAATTTGGAGATGTGAAAAAGGATGGCAATGATTTATTAAGCAATTTAAAGTGGAAATGTAATTTTTAAGACTTAAGTTATTTTAGAATACAGATAAAGTGGTATTTTCATATATTTTGAATTGTGAATTTTAAAATTCCAATAATACAATCAGTAGGATGTTATAAACCTTATTATTATGATCGAAGTCTATGATTTGCCTTCTATGAATTGTTTTGATTTTAGTTTTAAGGTGCTATGAGGTGAGTGAGCTTTAAAGAATGAGTTACCTACTTTAATTATTATTTATTACTAATTATTTCCAGTGTTAGCTGTTACATCAGCATTTTTGTGTAGTTTCATGAGTCGCTTATTCAGTTTGATAGAGAATCAGGGGCTTACTTGTTGAATTTAAACGGCTGAGCCATTGTTTTGCTTTTATTTATTTTTTTATAAACCAGCTGAAAATGGGTGAGCCAGCTGTATGAGTGAAAATTTGAGTGTTTTGGTGAAAAACTTTTGTTTCAGGATTTTTGTACATTAAAAGTTTTGGAATAGGAATGTCTCAAAGTTTTAATATTTTCATATTCTACAAGTATATGTATTAGCCACTTTTATGTGCTATTTATATACTTTTTCAGCTTTTCCATAGATTTTTTTTTATTCAGTGTTTTTATTTTTTTCTCCTTTTATTAACAGGGTATTAACCCTTTGCAATGCTTTCACGTGGGGCAAAAGCTTAAAGTTTATGTTATTGGAAAGAGTGAAAGAGAATGTGGTAATTTTCTGCTCATAACCCATAGAAAAATGATTAAGTTTCTAGAATGTGCTGTTCATTACCCTCCACCAGTTTTATTACCTGCAAATTTTCATGTAGGTCAGTCACTTATGGGATTTATAAAAGAAGTAAGTGTTGATATTTTTATTTTAGTAAGATGCAATAAAAAATTCTTCAGGCATTTTAAGTATATTTTTTTCACTTACCATTTTAGGTCCACGATGTCTGTGCAGTTTTATGGCTTTCCCCTAATCAGAGTGGAACTTTAGAGTATTTGCATTTTTCAGAAAAACCTAAGGTATGAAGTTCCTAGTTTTAAATCTATTTTTTTTCCCCTTCCTCCGTTTTATATGTTTTAACATATTTTTTATTTAACTGTCCAATTTGCAATTCACAGATAATATGTGATAGAGTAAATTTAGGAAGTTAGTCTTAAGTTATAATTCAGTTATTATATTTATTTCAATTTACATATATTATGCTGCATATGAAGTACATTGTACTACAGTAAACTAATATTAATAACTTTATAATTTGTGTATATCTCTGTTGCTGGGTTCGATCCCAGGCAAATTGGTTGGCTGCATGGCCTGTTTTTATGTGTTTGCCCTATGTCTAATAGGTTTACAATATATGTATATCTGTTGCCAAGTTTAATCCCAGGTAAATGGCCTGGTTGGTTTTCCCCATGTGTAATGTGAATATGAGCCAATTCTTTTTTCTGAGATAAAACCCTCCATGAAGGCATCTCTCCTCCTATGCAAATAGCCCTTATGTACTTCGCCGTATTCAAATAACTTACATTTAGTTGCTGATATGTTGCTGTTAATGAGAAACAGTACTATGTATATTGTCCGTCCAAAAATTCTCTTGTATTTAATTTTTACTCTTAATTTACTTACTAAACTTGAAGTTCATTTCATGTGAGACCTGAGAAAACGTTTGAAATTAATTTTTTTAGTGCTACTTTCATTAATTTTACAATGCTTTAAGTTCTTCAGGAGTCCAAAATTAAAAGGTTGGAGTGGTGAATTAGACTCTTTTCTTGAATGAATATCATTTTATTTTAATACTTTAACCATTTTGTTCCAAAACAAACCACTTTTCTCTACATAGTTCAGAGCACACACAAGCGAGTCCTGACCAATGGTCCCATCTTTCATTGATTCTAGGCTAAGTAATTCCTCTGTGAAAGTGAAATTTTCATTAATTCCACCAATAAAGATGATTAATTGTGCAATGTGTTTATTTCTGCACTGTCATACAACTGCAAAACCAAATCAAACCAAATCTTTTGCTCACAGACTTCAGCTGTTCTAATTCAGTCAGTGCCTACACTAAAGTCCTTAATGATGAAATGCTTTCTATTTTGCTTCTCATGTCAGGACATAATGCACTTACACACTCTACTATACATTAAATAAACTTGTCATCTGAAAAAGCCTTATTGTGTTTAACAAGGTTGTAGGCTCCCATGAAAATTGCTTCTGTAATGCCCTTTTGAGGTGTTGATTGCTTTGTAAATAATATCCATTGCTTCTTCAGCCTTTTCACACACTCTGCAGCTTCTATTTTGTGTTCTTCCTTTGAAAGTTTCCAGTCAAATTATCTCTGTTTTGTTTCAAATTGTGCTACTTAAATAAATCACTTATCGTTTCATAATGCAATAAACATGCTATGTTATTCCCTGTATTACCAAAGAAATATCTATTTGTCCATTCTTTATTAAACACATGCACCCGCCAGCGGCCAAGCAGTAAAGTCGCTGAACACTGGTAGTTCAGCCCAAGGTTCGAATCCCGCGAACGGGCTGGATGAGCGTTTTCGTGGTTTTCCCCATGTGTAACATGTATACGAGCCAGTTTTCCTTAGAAAGTCCTCCTTGAAGGCATCCCTCCCCTTAGGCAGATAGATAGCCCTCAAGGCTTTGCCATAATTAAATAACTAAACCTAACCATTAAACACATGACATTCATTACAGGTTTTACATTTTTTCAAAGGGTTCATTATGTATATTTACTTTTGCTAAAAGAAAACTGAAACAAACCAGATAAAGTGGAAAAGCAATGCACATTGTATCTACACTGCACGTATATATTGATATGGCCATCCTGTTGGAAGATATGAAATGCATTATAAGGTATTTCTCCCGCTTTCTTAGCCTTCCTTCGTTGTGTAGTGGTCAGCACGCTCGACGCGTAGTTTGAGTCCAGACAAGGGCATTCCTCCTTTTTCATATGTCATGCTTCGAAATTACCTAATGTCTCTACATTGGTGCCCTAACTAAAAGGTGGTGAATGATGATTCTTCTCCACGAGGACGCTTCCAAAAGAAATTTCCATTTTAAAAAACTCTTGCTGATCATCATCGCTGTAATTGAGGGGCACTTGCTATCAAGTTTGTATTTCTACATGTGAATCCAAATCATGCAAGTGGTAGCCATCAACATGCTGCTTAAATTTTACTTATAAAGTTACATTTTTTAAATTTGAACTTCCATAACAAATAAAAGATCTGAACAGCTGTGGGGAAAATGTAAATATTTCTGCTGATGCATTAAAAGCACCATATTTTTTTATTTACTATGTCTCTGTTGTTGGCAGAAAGGGGAAAAGTTGGCCTTTAAGGTCATATCATGCATTCAAAATATTTCAGAACTGACTTTTTTGCCTTGTCACCATGTAAAAGGGAAACTAATTCTCCATTACAAGTGATGGTTGATGATGGCGATGCTGAAAGCTGAGTGGTTATTGTACATTTTTTGTGAAAGCAGGTAGAAAAGTTATCTGTCCAAAACAAATTTATGTGTGATACCAGTCTTAAGCATATTTATTCAGTGCTAAAGTTTACTGATGAAAGCCATACGCTAAAATATATTTAATTTTATAATGTATAATGATTTCAGAATTTAATTTTTTATTCAATCTGGTTTTTATTAGAGGAAGGAAATTCGTTTCCAAAAGAGATCTTTCAATTATTTTCCTATTCCATTGGCTGAGTGGCTAAGACTTGCTACATGATGGGAATTCAGTCTGGGTTCATGGCTGGTTGCATGGTTGATTTTCCCTATGTGTAACGTAAATATGAGCCAGCTTTCCTTAGAAAATTCTCCGCAGAGATAACCCTTCACTTAGAGAGTTAGCATTCATGTGCTTTGCCATTTTCAAATGGCCACCAAACCTTTGAATTACTCTATTGTACACATAATAGTTAAAATTTTCCTTTTGTAAGGTATTGATTTTTATTTCAGGTCTTGAGAAAATTAAAGAAAAAACTTAGAGCTGGATTCTCATTGAAGGTTATAATATCAGAATCTGAAAAGTTAGTCAATAAAGAAGAAAAATTTATACTTCTAAGGCCTGGTAAAAAATACTTGTATTTGTCATCTGTTTTTCTGGAAACATTTGGAAAGCTTTAGTGTTTCTGTAATCTATTTCAACACACTTTTGCTTATTTATGTATATATAATTTTTTTAATGATTGGTATTTCAGGAATCAGTATACCAGACACTAGCAAGAATGTAGTTGGTTTGGTACAAATTGCTTGTGCAGATAGAGGTCTGATTTTGAAATTACCTCATGGTTACCATGGTGTTGTAGAACTGAAAGAGTTACAAGACAGTGATGCCCCTATTGAACCTTTGCTAACAAAATATCAGAAACTAAGATTTATCTTGTGTCATGTTCTGGAAGTTAATCATGACACAAAATATTGCATACTTTCATTACGAAGATCAAGGTACGTTATCTTGCTGTAATACATCTTTATGTGCAAACCTTTAAATTATATAGCTTGATTTTAAAAATGTGTTACTGATAATGTAACATTGCACTTTTCTATTCAGTCAAGTTTCATTTTCTATATTTTTCTGCAGGTTATATAAAAGTAAGGCTGAGCCTAAAATGATGACTGGAAATACAAAGCAGGAAAAGGTAAAAGATTTTTTATAGCTTTATCTAGTAATATCATTGTAAATATTAATCAATATTATTTGAGAAAATTATTTTAAAATTTTCTATATAAGCTATATAATTGAATACATAAATATAAAAAAATAGCACAATGCTTTTTGGAAAGTATGCATTCTGCTGTAGCTCGAAATTAGAACTATGTTTCTTTGTCAGGTTGAATTGCATCTTGAATAGCACAAATTCAACTGAATAGTTGAATAATTATTAACTGATTATAACTGATAGCAGAAAAATATTAATACGTTAAAAAGTAATTGGAAATGTTTATTGGACAGTCCTGGTGGAAATAATTTTTTTATAAAGTCATCTTCAAAGTAATATGCATTGTAACCCGCATAGATGCTCCAATGTTAAACTGCCTTTTTTGGTATCTGTCATCATGTTGTTGTTTTTGACAGCTTAAATTATCTAAATTTTGATATGTTAGTATCTTATCATCGCACACAATACACATGCAATACACCTTGCCAAATGAGAAAGCATTAGCTTTATACAGATGGCTCAAAGACAGAGAAAGGCACCATGCTCGCCTACTGTGTACTCCAAGAACGAGAATTGGTTAAAACTTGGGGAAAACGACTGGCAGATAAAAATACGGTCTTTCAGGCAGAGCTTCTTGCATTGAAAACAGCCATCTATTTGGCAAAATATCAATTAGGAATAAAGGTCAACATATATATAGCGACTCTGCCGCAGTCCATCCGAGGGCACGAGACAAGGAGTCCTTTGGTGCAAGATATTCAGAAAATTCTTTTAAGTATCCCACCAGGTGACAGTCCTATCCTGATCTGGGTTCCAGCTCATGTTGGTATCACTGGCAACGAAGCGACGGACATGCTTGCGAAATCTGCAGCCAATGACTCCAGTAGATTGGAAAACGCAGTAAGTGTTCCGCAGTCCTATTTTAAAAAAAAATCATGCTCAATAGCCTTTTTACAAGAATGGCAAAAAAGATGGGAAAGGGAAAGGGAGGAGAACCTACAAGTTCTTTCCGAAAGTTACATGCTCAGTTAATACATACAGCGGAGCACAAACTCAGTTCTACACTGGTCATGGTCCCTTCCCACATTATCTTAAGAGATTCGGCGAACGAGCATCAGAATTGTGCAGATCACTTTCTCTTCAACTGCCCACAAACCAATAAACTGCATATAAAAATGCTAAGCAGTGAATACTGGCCGCAATAGGCAGAGAATATCTGCGACAACAAGCAGACGAAAACTAAAATAGAGGAGATAATCGGGGTATGCTCAGCAAGGTACTAAGAAATTCTCCCCCTCCCTTGAGAATTGTATCTTCGCAGCATAATTTTAATAGCAATTCAAAATACTATAACAACTGAAAATCAACACTAGAAAAATAGCTCACCCAATAGAATAGTAACAGGACTGTAAGAGCAAAACTATTGTAATGTAAGCATATTACTATCCAGTGTCTATGCACTTGATAAAAATAATATTGTAAAGCAGTTTAAATGATATTGAAAATCCAGTCCGTGTGTAAATGAATTACAAGTTTACTTAGATTATGTCAGTAAAAGTATTGTAAATATGAATTCAGATAATGTTTAAATGTACACATAGCTGTCATGATTTTATATAACTGTCATATGTAACTTGTACAAGACAATGTTGCTTATTCACAGGCCTTGTATGCCCATGTAATATTTATATTTTTACACGGAGGAAATATTCCCTTCTGCCAGGATGACTATTAACACTGTAAGACTTTTACAACAAAGTCAGGTCAGTGGTTATCTCAGGCGGTGCTCAGTATCTTATAAATTGGACCATCACATTGCAGGTATGCCAACCCTTCCCTGTTCAGTTTCACAGTATAATTTTCCGGATTTTCTCCAATTCCTAAAATTTCTCTAAATTTTTAGTTCAGGTGAATTCATTATTTTCACCCAAGAAGCTGGATTTCTGGCATCTGAAGTCATTAGCTTTCATTTCATTACCATTTAAAAAATAGTTTCATGTATCATTATGCACATGGCAATAGATTTATCTGAAAACATCCTGATCTAATTCTCCAGTATGCATTAATTGCAACTGTAGGTCATCAGCTGCACATCAGACACATAATACTAATGAAAGCAGTTCTCACATTTCTGACATAGCTAAACAGTGCGAGCTTCACGTGCTTGTTGAAGTTCTTAAGAATTTGCAATCTTAATGCTTCTGTACTTTTCAAAAAACATTTAGATTACTTTCCTTGAACTTTTTCATCAGAAAAGAACAAAGAATATTTTTTAAAAGATAAGGACTTTCTAAAGATTTCAATTTCACTCAGATGATGATGAAATCCAGAAAAAAGGACTTTTTAAAGGTCTTTAACACAGAATTGAAAAAGGACCACTTTTTGAGAATTTTAATTTATGTAGAAACCATGTACCCAGGAGACTCGAGATTTCCGATCATATTCGTGCCATGTATTTCTTCTAACTTACTTTTTTTCCCAAGATGTGTGCTCAAAAGATGTACACATCTTTTGAATTATGTGTGCTTAAGATGTGTGCTCAAAAGATGTACACAATTTCCATGAACAAAAGAAGTCCTAAATAGGGAATGCTATAAAAAATGAGGATACTTGCAAAATCTGCACTATTCAGTCTGGTTTGCCATGTGTCATGATCTTCAGAACTTGACCATTTTCTTGAAGCAGTTCTCTATCATTGCTTCATCCATCAGAGCCGATGCATCCAAAATGCATGAGCAAATCAATTAGTAATATGAAAACAACCACTTTTTGAACAAATTTATTTTAAAATTAAGGACAACTGTCTTTCTCAATGCCTTGCAAATGCTGAAAATTAGATAAGTAGTTAAACAATTTCGAAACCTAGTGCTAAAATGCTTGGCTGAAAATTATACAAAGGATGAAATAAGCGAATAATCCAGTTGAATTTGTTTGAGAGGAGAGTATTTTTGTTGTGAACAACAAAGCATCTATCTGATAGGGGGGCATTAATGATTGTGATGACCCAGTCTGGGAAACCCAGCTTTATATTATGAAACCCTCAAGATAAACAAAGAGCTCTAGTGTATTTGAGAAATATGGCATATCTGATTGGAAAATATCCCTCTTTATGATGAATATAGTACAAAATCTATGTTTAAATATGTTCCATATTTACCATACAAGTGATGTAATCTAACACATTTATTTGAACAATATAAAAATGAATACAACTTTATTTCAGTTTTTACCTATAGTTTAAAGTAAATTGATTGCATACATAAAGTTTTTATTTATCAAAACACTATGAGAGGCTGCAGACATTATCCTGCTTTAATGTTCACATCAGAAGTGAATGCTTTTTTGTACTCATATCTTTGCAGCAGTGGAAAGAATTTAATTTACAGATTTACTGAGAGTACTCAACTATGTCTGTAATGGCTTGAAAGTCTGGAAAAACTAAAGCTCAGTAAGAAACGTGGATTTAATTTTCTTTACTCACTAATCAAGACTCAAAGACACATAGGTATAATTCTTTGATTCATTTATGAATTTAACATTCAGTACCTGTGCATCAATATCTGCTAGCACAAATATGTATGAATTCATAGCATGCCCATTTCTATGTTCTGTCTGTATTTTAATGGACATATTTTAATGTTTCTTAGCTTTAGTTGCCAGTGAATGCTTTGTTTCTAAAACTGAAATTTTGTATGCTTGAAAATATCCTGATGCATTTTAATGGATTTTAACTTGTACAGTATTTCTTCACATATTTTTTCTCGTCATATCCTGAAATTTCAGAGGGGAAAATTAAGCAAATAATTTAGTTTCTGATGGTCACGTTTACACTAAGAACATAACAAATGAAAAATAGTCAATAATAAACCACAGATAACTATCACAATACTATTTTATTAAAGAAACTTACATTCCAACACAGTAATATTAGAATTACAATATCTAATAACATATCTTCATTTCTACTTCCCTGTAACTTGTATATCGCCCTTTCTTATTGTCTCTGCTATTCTTTAGGCCTTGAATAATCCATTAATAATTAGAGGTGGTGAATGTATAGTGAATGCCAGTTCACGTTTGCTTAACTGTATTGGTAATTACTTGTATACACCTGCAATAAAGGTCAGTATTTGGGAGAGGTTTGGCATTACCTTTGCAAGTAGTTTGCTAGGGGTTGTCTTTGTAATACAAAAACAATCACTACATACACGAATCCATCTTAAACTCAGAGCTTTAGGAGAGCTCATCTTCTCAATTCATAGCAGGGGAACATTACGTGAATATTTAAATTTTTAGAAAATGGCACTGAAAAAAATAAGGGAGAATATGGAAAGAAATAAGTGTATTGTAACTAATATTTTTTAACTTTTATCATTTGTAATTAAGCAGGTCATATGTTATTCATTTGGTGAATAATTGGAAATATACAAAGTATTTTGTACGGTTTACATTATACTGGAGCATGGGTGCATTGTAATGGTCCCATGCTTTATACCCCAAAGTTTTATTGCTACTAATTTATTATACTCATTTTTCTTTTAGGAAACTATGCTGTCCCAGAGATTACATGTGAATGAAGATATATCATGGGATGAATTGGAATAATCATTTTCTTAATGCTCACTGTGTTTGCTTTGACAACATGCATCTGTAAATTTTTATTTTAGTACCTGTTTTTTAAAATAAATTTTTTAATATACATTGTAACATACTTTTTCTTACTTCATACATTTACTTACATTTTTAGATTTTTGCTGATTAACCCTTTTGACAGAAAAACTAGACATCATCAGTATGTCACTAACGTTTCTGTCAACATCCTCAATTTCTCTGACATTAGTACATTGATATTTTTAAAAAAGAAACTTATACACTCTTGGTCAAAAAAAGGACACACCAAGAAAGAGTTATCCGAATGAGACAAAAATCAGTAGAAGTGATGTACATGTATAGAAAAACAAATGATTACAGTTTGAGAAAAATTGGATGACTTATTAAAGTGATAGAGCTTTGCAAAGTCAGTAACGCATTTGTCCACCTCTGCCCTTATGCAAGCAGTTATTCGGCTTGGCATCGATTGATAGAAGTTGCGGATGTCCTCTTGAGGGATATCGTGCCAAATTCAGTCCAAATCTCATACATTAAATCGTCAGCATCCCGAGCTGGTTGGAGTGCCCTGCCCATAATGCTCCAAACGAGAGAGATCCGGCGACCTTGCTGGCCAAGGTTATGTTAAGCAAGCAGAAGAAACGTGTGCAGTGCGGAGGTGGGCATTATCTTGATGGAATGCAAGTCCAGGGTGGCGTGACATGAAGGGCAACATAATGGGTGACAACCATTCATTCATTGGCAGCCAAAATGTAAAAATTTTGCATTTTCCGTCGAAACCTGTATGCATATCAATTTGTGTCCAATTTGCTTTATATCTTCTCGATGATTGTCTAAGAGTGTATTTGAAGAACTTACTTTACCAACCTGACTCGTATATCTATATGAAATTTTATTTACAAAAGGTTTAACCGCACATATACCAACTACTACAAATTCTCCATAGTTTCTACAGAAATTTCTCTAAAACTGTGGATTTATAAAAAATAACTGAAAATGGAATGGACAAGGCTCGAATTGTTTGTGTGTGGTTCAAAGAGCATAAGGATGAATTCTGGTTAATATCCTATCCTGGCCACCTAATTCAACAGATCTTAATTCAATAGAGCGGCAGCTTGGAGCTCAAAGACTGCCATGTCATAATACCTTGGCTTTGTGTGACCAGTGCTTAGACATTTTGGTACAACCTGTCTCAAGTCCTACCAAGAACTTGTAGCATCCATGCCAAGGCGAGTTGCAGCTGTTTCATGCCAACACATTAAATAGGTGGTCATACTGTTTTGACTCTTCATTGTGTGCGTGTATTTAAAATCCATCCCATATTTAATCTAGAACAAACCATATGCAAAAAGCCAGAAGCACAGTGGCAAACTGCATGATAAACACAAAATATTCCAAAATCAAAAAGCATTGTCATCGGGGCGTAGGTGTTTCGAAAGAAGCAAACATAACGTTTCTGAACCAACAGACAAAAAAAATCATGATAGCTTTAATACTTATGATTAATCTCAGAAAAATAATTTAATTTTTATACTTATAAAAGTAATTCTATCAGTTCAACCCATACTGATGATAGTAAGTAGTGCAAAATTATAGCATCAATATCATAAGCTTTGAAAACTTACTTTTAATTTTGAGCAGGCTAAGTCCAAAAAACAAATATGTAAATACAGCAATTGAACACATGGGAAAAAAATGTAAAAATTTGAAACTGTAAATGACTTGTTAATGAAAACGTTTAATTATAGAAAACTTCTAATGTAACAAACACTAAATATGGTAACTCATAGAAGGAAAAATATACCCATTTATTTATATCTAATTAAATATACATGGTTTATGATTTCCCTTTCATTATTATTCCTCCTTGAATAATTAAAATTTAATGTGCACATAATTTAGAAGAGTTTTTCAATTTTTTATACCAGTGGATTGTAACATTTTAATATTAGTTTAACTGAAAAGATATGCATAATGTGCAATTTATAAAGCTGTAATAATGTTATGGTGTACACAGTGGGAGGTAGCGCATCTGACTCCGTATATGATTGGTACAGTTGTGAGGTTGCATAATAATAACTGCATTTTGAATTCAAAAAAATATTTATTATAGTTACGAGTAGCTCCTTACAAATACGTATAATTTGTGGATAGCATTGAACAGTTAATAGTCCTTGTGATGTGAGGAACCTGTTAATGAGGGTCTCTCTAGTCGAGAGCTCGGGAGCATACTCACGTGTTGTTCCGATCTAAAAAATCTTCAAACTTAGCCACACCTCCTTAATTCTTCAGCAGTAGTTTACATCCTGATTATCATTATATCTGGAACGATATCAGAGGATAAACAAGATCATTGGTTTGTCAGCCCTCATGAAATCGAGAGACTGACAACAGACACAGTGCAGAACGCTAAAATCTCGACACTGGTCGCGAGTTATGTTTGTTGTACTGTCAACTGGAACAAATTATTGCATCTGTGATGTTAGAGCCATGTTGCGTGACACATCATAAAAGCTTGGAAACCGTGACTTGCAGGTACCTCACTCGCAATATTCTCTGTTATTCGCCACAATGTCATTCATGCACTAGCTCTTCAGAAGTTTTACTATAGGTTGTCAGAAAGCTGAACACACCTTTTATCTAAATGATTGATAACATGCTACCCGAGAAAAAACTATGCCATACATTTCCTTCATAGTTTAAATACTTTTCATGTTTCTAAAATTCTTTTGATGTGTTTTTTTTTTTTAGTAAATGTTTGTATTAGTTGCTTATTTTTGTAGTGTTCAGTATTTATTTAATGCAGAGAATAGTGAGATATTACATTATTCAATGTTATCTGCTAGACCAGTCACAGGAAAACTATGGCCACCTGCCCAACTGAAAGTTCTACCCAGCCCACTGCAAATTAAATTATATCTATATATTTACAAGATATAATATATATTTTATTATAGAGCTTGTATCAAAACAGAAAGGGATGTCACATCATGAACGGTGGGAAAATAAGTTCATGTAGTCTCATTTCATTGACATTTACACTGCTTAGAAAGTCCTCCATGAAGACATCCCTCCCCTTAGGCAGATAGTCCTAGTGTGCTTTGCCGTAATTAAATAAACCAAAAATGACATTTACTCTGTGCATTTTAAGCTCTGCCCAGTGCCTTTCTGTTGTGGTACGAGTACAGACAGACTAGTACTATGACTCAACATCTTCCCTTGAAAATTTTCTGGAAAATGATATTTATTGATAATTTTCCTAAATGAATAAAAGCACTCTTTTCTTTTTTAATGAACATGTAAATTTTAATTTCACAATCGTCATCTTCACTAATTCTAATAGTAGATATTGATAAAGAAGGATAAGAGATGGCACGCACACAGCGAAAACTAAATGTCTTCCTATATTTGTCCGTGGGCATGAGTTACTGATTGTTGAATGAAAAGATGGCAGACAGGTAGTGTTGCTGTGAATAGGTTTGTTATGGTTATTGTGGATATTCGTAAAATATTTCAACCCCAAAAAAGTATGTCTTGCTTTTAAAAATAAATGGACTTGAAAGCATTTTTTGCAGTTATAAAACCAATGTTTAAAGGTTTAAGTGTCTAAAAAACCAGGATAAACCAGTGTCTCATCTGCAACGAAGCTATAGCTCTCTTCAAAGAATGTGACATTTACTGTCACTTCACAAACATAAGCAATGACTTCAAAGCATAAGAATTCCAATTATGAAACAATGTCTGAAAAACAAAAGGAAACAAAAAGCAGAAAATCTTTCTCAGGTCAACAAATTTGTTTTAAGAAAAGAAACAGTACCCATGAAGCAGCTAGATATGCAAGTTACATTATTGCATACAATGTAGCTAAAAGTAATATAAAGCTTTCAATGATGGGAAGTTATTTAAACAATATATATTCAAAGTTTGTGATGTTTCACTTCCAAACAAGAAAAAGGATTTTGGCACTTGTAAGGCTTATCTTGAAAATTGGCGATTTCTAGAGTTGAAGCCATCAATAAAAATCTGACATCACAGAGTCAAAGACTTGCTAGTTCAAATTTTTCTCTAGAGCTATGGATGAAAGCACCGATATAAATGATACTGCTCAACTGGTATTACTTGCCAGAGGTGATGAAAATTTTGAAATTACCGAGGAACTGGCATGCAGCCCATTAACCCTTTTGCAACAGCATACCTTTGTTTAACCTTTTCGCGATGGCGCACCTTTGTTTCAGACGCTCGTGCGGGACGGAAGGGAGTCGAAGGCAGTCACCGTACAGGACGGAGGTTTCACATCGCTAAGCCTAATTTTATAAAAAAAGTTTCGCTTCTAGCATCGTAATTTTTTGTATTCTTTTAGATTATTACTTGGGCTCTTATATATGTTAAAATTAGCACTTAATAATGTTTTTTCTTTATTTTACATGAAAACATATTTAAAAAATTGCTTGTCTTTTAAAATAATTTTCGGAAGCACTATTCAAATTATTCCAAAGTTTTAATTGATAAAATCCATCAATAAAGTTTTAAATTAATAAAACAACACAATAAAGACTGTGAAAAATCTCGAAGTACGGAGAAGTAGCAGTTTCTAACTTTTAAGAAAATGAATCATCACTCTCATCTGCGTTAATAAATGGTTCAATGACCATACAAGGGTATTCTTCCTCTGATAAATAGCGCCTTTCCGCTATAATACACTGGAGGTGAGGCTTTCCGAAATAAAAAAAGCAGAAACGGAAATATATCTGAAGGGCAATGCAAAACGTAACAGTACTCCACATACTAACCCTAAAAGACCGTATATATTAAAGGAAAAAATAGAATAAAAAATGGAATTTGATATAAATCAAACACGCAAATGTTTTCACTAGCACGCAGTGATTTTAAGAGCTCACCTCTGTTTACGTTCCCCCCCCCTCACAAGAGCTGATGAGTAAAATACCAAAGTCAAGCAGAATATATCAAACTCAAGGTCAGGAACTTTAAACTGTGTTCATTTCAAAAGTAATGGACATAGGATGCCATCTAGCGGCCTTCAGAAAAAACGTTCCAGCTTAAAATGCACATATGCATCACCCATCCTCTGAATGCAATCTCTAGCGATGCATGGATGGGACGCCCGGCTGTAAGAGACATCCTTAGGGAATGCATAGATGGGACTCCCATCCTGAAAGTGTTAAGACGCTTGTGCAATACGGAAGAGAATTGAAGGCAGTCATCGCACATTTATATGAAAATATATTTAAAAAATTGCTTGTCTTGTAAAATAATTTTCAGAGGTGCTATTCAAATTATTCCACTGTTTTAATTGATAAAATTCATCAATAACGTTTAAAATTAATAAAACAACACAATAAAGACTATTTACAAAGCAAAATGCTGAAGGCAATGCAAAATGGAACAGAGCTCTACGTAGTAGAGGAAAAAGGACTTGGATATAAATCAGATACATGAACGCATGTGGTGATTTAAAGAGCCCACATCTATTAACGCTTCCTCCCCCCCACCCTCGCAACTTGTTGATGAGGAAAATACCAAACTCAGGCACAATATATCAAACTCAAGGTCAGGAACCTAAAACTGTGTTCATTTCAAAAGTAATGGACATACGGTGCCATCTAGTGGGCTTCAGAAAACTGTTCCAGCTTAAAATGCATATATACATCGCCTGTTCTCTAAATTCTAACTCTAGTGAATGCGTATATGAGATGTCCATCCGGAAAGGGTTAAAGGGAACTACGATTAGATGCGATATTTTTATGGATCTGGAAGGGCTTTCGACTTTGAAAAGACCTATAACAAACATATATAATATGACCAATGATGTTCTTTCTACATTGCATCATAAATCAGAATGTCCTGTGTAATCTGCATTGAATATGAAACCTTTAGTTGATGCAATCGTGAGGCTTGAAAACATTACTCAATCTCATAGAGTCAATTTCAAGATTTTCTTCAGTCCATACCATCTGAATACTCTGATTTGCTGCATTACATGAGAGTAAGATGGCTTAGTGCAGGATATGTTTTCAAGCAAGTTTGGCAGCAGAAAAATACATGTCATTCTTCCATGAGAAACAGTGTTCTGCAGAATGCGAAGTGTTGGAAGATATGGTATAGTTTTTGGACTTCGTATTTTTCGCATATCTTCTTTGTTATATGAACAACTTAAATGTTAATATGGAAGGGGGAAAAATCTATTCATGATATCTAGACCCATCTCATAGTTTTAAAAGTAAAACTTGATCTGTTCAACAGACAACTTAGAACAATTTGTTTCATTTCCCGAGGTTACATTCAATACCTTTAGTAAATGAAGACAAGCTTAAGAGTTGGCCTGAGAAAACTGGATTTTGATTTTGAATGCAGATTTCAATGCCATTCCAACAGATCTGGATATTTTCACCATGCCTTTCAATGTAAATTGTGAAGCAGATTTGCAGCTTGAACTATTTGAGACACAATCTAACAACCACCACAAGTTCTTTTTCAATATTTCAAAATTAGTTTTACAAATTGCTATCAAAAACAAGTTTCTCATGTTTATTATCTCATGGTCAGTGCAATTAGTGCTATATTTGTTTCATCTTATATATGTGAAGAAGTTTTTTGTACCATGAATCTTAGGAATAATTCTATTAGAAATAGACTAGCAGATGAACATTTAGCATCACTTCTCAGAATTAGTACATCGCAGTTTGAAGCAATATTTAAGGAACTTTTTAAAGAAAGCTCTTGCAGTTTCATTCATCACATTAATATTTGTATACTCTTTCTAAAGTTTTAGAATAAAATTATATTTGCCCACTAATTCCCCCCCCCTTCTGCTCCCAGAGAAGTTTGTTCATAACATTGCTAGACTGATCGCATTGGGGGTCCTTGTTTCATAATCTCTTATGGCTGCTGATGGAATCAATTCTAAACTTCGCATCTTTACTTAGAGAACTTTCAAGTACTTTATTAACACTGTAAAAAATATACATAAGTGTAAAATGGTAAAAACCATTTAATACATCTGCAGTCAAATCTATATTTCTCTTACATTCCACTTCTTTTACATTCAACAAATAGTTTATTATAAAATTGTACTTCCAACTTACATATAAAATAATTTACTATGCCATTTGTCAAGTAATGACAAGTATACTTATTTTACATAAGATTACAATATCCATAAATAAACTTTTTTAAAAATCAAATTGAAAGGAAAAAATACTTTAAAAAGGAGCTTGAAATGAGTATTTTGACAATTCATTTACTGCGCAGAATCTAAGAAAAGAAAGAAAAATAAAGTAATAAGCATTTTACAATTTAAAAAATCTTTACAACATTTATACAATAGTTATAAGAATTTCAATTAATGTACTTAAAATTTTACATACTTTGTCAATTAGAAGTTTTAATAGTTTGGCTAGCTTTTGCTTGAAGGTTTAGCTGGATGATCTGTCTGAAAAAGTTTGGCCTACTTAAATCTGAATGAAGCTTTCAATATTTACATCAGAATATCCAAAAAAATCAGTTCTCCAAAACACACTATATAGTTTTCCAGTGCTTCTACCATCTCCAACAATGGATTAGTGTTCTATAGATTCTCTTGGACTTTTATTATTAAATTTTACCCACCTTGCACAATTTGACATCAAGAATTTGGAAAATAAAGACAAGGACTTTGTTTTCCAAATATTATAGCTATCCGTAAAAGACATTTTTTTATTCTTCAATAATGCAAAAGCAGCTTTGTTTCTCATGATGGGTGCACGAAAATCTTTTCCATAACTTTTTCCATATTTTTAATAATGTGTTAATTATTTTTACCTATATCTAAAGGCTTCTGGAAAGGACTTTCTTGATATGTATCAAAACTTCTTGGGCTTGTCTCAAGTCCTTTTATTAAGTCTGTTGTGAATCTTTCTGGGGTTGAAAATTCCTTTTTTTTTTTTTTTTGAAATGTAACAGCCCTTTTTTTAACCTGAATCTGTCGTAAACAGTATTCTTTTAAACGAAATTAAAGAATTTTAAAAGAAAGAAACAGCTGAAAATTATCTTAAAATATTCAATGCAACTCAGGTTATCTAATTATCATATATAAAGAAAAATTCAACAGGTTCTGGAAAATTATATAGTGTTGTGCTTTGAGGAATTGCTATCTATCTTGGAACACTCAACTTTATCCAGATTACAGTACACCAAAACTTTTCATACAGATAACAAAAAATTATGAATATCCAGCCAGAACTTTGGTAAACAAAAACCCCTCTCCCTCCAGCAACCGCTTGCCAAACAACGTTCTGCTTTGATAAAAAAACATCAAATTAAGTGCATATTCTACAATGAATTTCATGCACAAATTCCGAAAGCAAACATTCCTCACTTTTACAATCGATATTAAATGTTTACATCTGTCTCTGAGATCCAAATGATTTTGGTAAAAACCATGACTGAAAAACAAGGAACTGCATTCAGTTTTTACCAACATTTACAAAACCTCCCCGCCTTGAAACCACTGCTCTTCACAATGGCGTTTGCTTGCTTCTCAAATAGGAATGTGTATTTTTTCCCGGATATAGATAAGGGGGGAACTACAGAGTTAATTTTTTACTAAACAATACACGCACCTGCTCAGTAAAAAAGTCTTTCTTTTCCAGAGACTTTTCTCTGACCTCAACACGCTTGCTCCCCAAGCTAGTATTGTGATTTTACAAATTATTTCCTGTGGTTTAAATTTAATGTAAATATACTTTGCTATAATTAAAAATAGAAATTGAGTAAAGTTTTATTTAAATTAAAAATATTTTCTCAATATTTTGGGATGAAATACGAATAAAATAAGTATGAATGGGGAAATGAATGATCCGTACCAAAGCCAAAAAGACCAAGCACCCACCCCATTACCATAAAAAAACACAAATTTAATGTGCCAGATGAAAAGAAAATAAATAACGCTGGACATATACCAGTCAAATTTAGACCCAGGCAGTGTACATTTTGTAGCACAAGGAAGAAACGTCATAGAAGATACATGTGCGAAACGTGCAATATGGTTCTATGCATGTACCAAAAAGACAAAACATGCTGTGCAGTGTCACAAAAAATATTTATTCTTTGAAATTTAAAAAAAAAAAAAAAAAAAGTCTTTTTTTATCCTTATTTTACTGAGTTTTTAATTCATTTAGCCAAACGTCCTTATTATGTAGGCACTTTCACTGCTATAGAAAAATTACATAAATGTTTATTTTTTAATTTTTTCTGACGATTTACTTTGTAAAATAATGTAAAAAAATTATATATTATGCAATTCCTACATACATTTTTTTAAATTCATAAATTTCATCATTTATTGGAAATGTGCACAGAGAAAAATATGTTTTCCCCACCTACTACCTCAGTAAGTTTCAAAGTGCTAGACGCGCGGTGGTTTCACAGTGCGAGTACCACCCTCAGAACAATGGGCAAGAGTATTTTTTTAAATATAATATTCAATTTATAGAGTTTTTAGTTAAAAAATTATAAAAATAATATTGCACACGTCAAAAGATTAATCAAAACATAAATGAAGTTGCATGTTCCAAGTTGTAACTGCTTTCTTTATTTATGTTGAATATTTAGCTCTAAATTATAAGATCATGGTTATGTTTTTTAAGATCATGGTTATGTTCAAAATCCTGAACAAAATTAAGCAAGACTGATTCAAATGCCAAAATCTCCTGAAAATTTTTTCCAATTTATTCTGTTTTACACGCACATGAGACCAAAGCAACACATCCATGGTAACTGTAATTATGCCTCTCTTCCCAACATCATATTCTGCAGGAAAAACATGCACTTCTCTTGGTTTCTTGATTTAAAAAAAAAAAAAAAAAAAATTCTGACAAAAGTTACAAATGAGTAAGTATCATTATTCTGTATGAAGATATTTTTATTGAAGAAAATTGAGAGAGCCCAGTCATCACTGCCTTAAAAGAACTTCACCAGAATATAATCAGATAACATTTCTAAAATAAATTATATACAGAAATTTACATGCTAGATCTCAACTCTCTACTCAAAGTTGTGTAAATGATCTTTTTTAACAAAAGAAAAAAAGAAAAGAAAAAAAAGAGGGATAATGCAGCTGTTTTGTGATGATAGCCTTAAAAGTAATTTCCACAAAACATTTAACAAATTACCACTATGAAAACTGGTTTATGCTTTTCTAAACATACCAGGGTTCTTAGTGGTCCTTACAAGTCCTTATATTTGAAAATAAAATATAGGAGCCCTTATAGGTGCTTACATTTTCTCTAAAGTACTTATTTTTTTGTTTTTAGTGCTTATTTTTTGCTTTTAAAGCCTTTTTCTTAACGAACGCACATTTTTCCCCTGTACCAAAGGCGAAACTAAATAGACAACTTTTCTTCCTTATATGGAACGTCAGATGGTGAATCATACTTCCAGAAATAGCTTTTCTCTCCTTTCTGTGCATTAATATAACCTTTGGTGTGCGCGAGTACAGACAGATGGACGTCGTTCTATTGGTCAATGAATTGCAAAAGTGGTAAAAAATTCCGGTACATTTCGTATTCTATTGCTCCCACCCTACACACTCTACACGTTTGAATTTCTATCAAGATTTTAATAATTTACATTCTCGTTCCACGTGGTCAGTTCATATTCACGTTTATTGTGATCGGTATGCTTATATCATGAGCATATGTATGAATATTTATAATAATATACACTCACTTCCAAAAGTTAAGCACGAAGATGTAGAATGCAAAAAATCAACAAATACTGCTTTGATTGACAAAAAATTCGGCAGGAAAATAGCACATATATATTAATGCATAAAACAAAATAATTCTATACAGAAATGAAAACAACATTAAATTTTTGTAAGTTATCAGATAATGACATACAGGAGACTTAAACAGAATTATGTATAAAGTGAAAATAAACAGCATAAAATGAAAAAAGAGGACATTAATAGGGTATGTGATCCCCCCTCATATGTATACAAAGTTTACACCTTGTGACCATGCTTTCAATTAGGTGGTCAACCACCACAGAATTAAGCAATCGCCATTCTTCTTGTAAAGCAGTTTCTAGCTCAATAAGAGTGGCTGGGAAATGTGAAGACAGGCACGGCCGAGAGCATCCCAAAAATTTTCAATAGGATTAAGGTCGGGTGAATATGCTGGTCATGCCATACACGCAATCCCTTCACTCTCCAGGTAGTCATCGACGATGTCAGCTCTATGGGGACATGTGTTATCGTCCATTAACACAAAAGTAGGGCCAACTGCTGCAGCGTACAATCTCACAATGGGTTCTAGGACTTCATCTCGATACCGCACAGCCATCAAAGAACCCCGTTTAAAGATGTACAGCTCGGTGGGGTATCCTAATGAAATCCCTGCCCGCACCATAATGCTTCTGCCTCGGAATGCGTGATGTTTGGTGATATTTTGGGACTTATTGCATGTTCGTTGCTCATGCCATATCCTTATACGCTTGTCATCTGACTCCAGAGCAAATCTTGACTCATCAGTAAACATGACATTACCCCAGTCAGATACATTCCAATTGACATGTTCCTGGCACCACAATAATCGTGTCCCTCTTGATTGGACGGATAGAGGAACACCCGGGCGTACAGTCCCCACATATGTAATCTTTGGCGTACAGTAGCAGCAGATATCACCTTACCAATGGATGCTGCAACCATAGATGTCACACGTGTGGAGGTCGCTCTGCGATTCCGCTTGGCTACAATAGCAATATATCGATCATCCGCGGGGTTGTAATCCTTGGGCGACCGGCTACGGGCCTTCGGACAACTGTCTGTGTGGTTTGGAATTGCTTCCATAAACGTGAAATTACAGAATGATGAACACCGAAGAAAAGAGCAACATCTGTGATCGACTGTCCTGCTTCAATGTGCCCCACAGCACGTCAGCACTCAGAATCTTCCATTTGTATTCTGGAAGTTGTAGAAACACATACGTCTTGAAAACAAATTGTACGAAAGTTTTAAACACCTTCTATCAGCACTTACAATCAACTTCTGTAACCCTTCATAAAGCTGGCTTCTTATATGATTGCCTTTTTTGCATATTTCTTGACATGAAAGCGAGATTGGCTGTTACCTAATATATTTGCATACTTCTATCTACCTCTGCAGCGAATTGCATCCTCTTCCATTCTGATTGGCTTCCGGAAATTAGCATTTTCCTCTCCGTGCTGAACTTTTGGAAGTGAGTGTATTTTCAGTAACTGCTGAAGTATAGACA